ACGACAGTGCCTAACAGTGACGAGTTGTGCATAATATCCGATAGGCACAACTCTATAAAGAAGGGGATTGCCATTATTTACCCTCAAGCACATCACAGATTCTGTATGAGGCACCTTGGTGAGAACATAAAACAAAAGTTTAAGTGTGCTGGCCTCCTTCAGACATACTACATGGCAGCAAAAGCTTAACGGGTTGAAGAGTTAGAGGAGCAATTCCAAAAAATCAGAATAAAGGATGATAGAGTTGCTAAGTATCTTGAGCATGGTATTGGTTTCGAGAGATGGAGTAGAGCTTACTTTCCTGGAAGAAGGTTTGATGTCATGACCACGAACATAGTCGAGTCCATAAATTCGAAGTTGTTAATATAAAGAGAGTTTCTAATAGTTGCACTTTTTGATGCAATCCAGAGGACATTGTCACGATGGTTCCATGAGCATCGTCCGAAGTCAGATAATTTTACTACAAACCTTGTTCCGTCAGCTGAAAAATTATTGCGAGAGCGTATGGAACTGTCAAATGTACTATTTGCATATCCTTTTAATGCTCAAGAGTTCACTGTGTGCGGCTATGGTCCGAATGCCCTAGTTAACCTTGTTAGTAAAATTTACAGTTGTAAAGTGCTTAACATTCAACGTTTACCTTGTCCTCATGCACTAGCAGCACTGAAACACCAATGGAAGCTGGATTTTGGTTCAAGAATTTACATGGAACTTTGCTTCCCTTTCTATATGGAAAATCACTACATGATAGCTTATTCAGAAATGATATATCCAGTTCCTTCTGAAGAGCAGTGGGTAGTGCCGCCAGAGTTGGTTGACATTATCATCCATCCGCCATTCAAGAAGACAGCAAAGGAGAGAAAAAGAGTTAAGCATATTCCATCAGCCCCTGAGGTTCCCCGGAAGATGAATAAGTGCTCAATTTGCAAGCAACATGGCCACAAGAGAAACAGTTGCTAGAAGCAATCAAATGGAGATCCAGAAAATTAGGTTCAAAAAAGGATGAAATCAAGAGAGTTGCCAAGGCCAATCGTTGATGAGTTATTGTTTTCAATTATTGATGTTTTAAATTTTATTGGTACCTTGAATAAATCATCCTTTATATTTAGTATTCTTGTTACATGGCCTAAATATGTGTTGGTGATTTTAGTTTGGAATTAGGTTGTCAAATTGAAGAGAAAATATGGAATTAATATGTGTTAGTAATTTTAGTTTGTCAAAATTCAAGAGAAAAGCTGGAAAAAATATGTATTGCCCATGATCGCTTAAGCGACTAAATATATCACTTAAGCGACAAAATATTTTTCATAAAGGATTGCTTAAGCGATATCATGAATTGCTTAGGCGATCGTGCATCTGGATAGATATTGATTCTGCCCAGCACATGATCGCTTAGGCGATCGTGTACCTGGGCATATACTGACTGCTTAAGTCATCTGATTTGATATTATGATGAAAATATATATAATTATATATTATTTCTTAATGATCGGGGATGTTCAAGCTAGCTTATGCACACCTCAACTAATCTTTCGGGACATTGGACCTATAAGTCGAGTAAGAGTTCTAGTGGCTACCCTTATTAGCAACTGAGGAGGGACTCAAAGCCTCTTGAGTAATACATCCAAGAGTTCCTATAGAAACAGTAGATCACCCAGAGGTAGTTGTGGAAAATAAAAATAAAATTCAAAGAAATGGTGATGTTATATGCAATTAAATTGATTAGGTTTGTATACTCTATTTTATATTAAAAAATTTGGGTCTCAACTATATATTTTTAATAATCGATGAATGATATCACACAATCTTACCAGTACTTTTTATGGTTTTCTGATGCAAAATGTGGTTGATCAAATGAATTATGAAGTTATTCGATAAGTAATGTATGTATTGCAATTTCTAACTCTCTCTATATGGCAAAAAAAAATCTGGAAATATAATAAATCTTTAGGTAGTCGAGTAGTTCGATAAAGACTCTTAGGTATATTACTCAAGAGATATTGAGTTTGAATCTCTCTTTGGTCACTAATAAGGGTGACTACTAAAGCTTTTATCTGACTAATAGTTTCAGGGTCTTAAGAAATTAACCAAGGTGCACATAAACTAGTATGAACATTTACCATCCTAAAAAGAAAAAAAAAAAAAAAAAAACATAATTACCATCCCACTTTTAGCATTTGAAACTGCAATTCAAACGACAACGAATAAACGTAACAAAAACAAATATATCTTCTACGCCAAACCACAGTAAGGTGCTCCCCTTTCTTTCATCATGAATTCATGATCTCAACCCACCACCATTAAAGCTTTGAAAAATGAAAAGTCTCAGAAATGGGCAGCTCTGGAAGCAGAAGAAGGAAGGCCTCAACGTATTTAATAACTTTGAAATCTATATCTACCTTATCCTCATCCATATGGGTATGGTATTAATTGGTTCGACATGACATCTCATCGATCGACATGCCTTTGATTGTCAGCTTTCATACCTCAAAACCTGTAAATTTATCGAATTATGATATATTTATGTAAATTTTTTTTTTTTTTTTTTTTTGGAATGGGATGTAGGTGGCTTGGATGGCTCCAGAAAGTTAATGGCTTCGTTTGTTTCAGTTTTGGGAATACTATTTTTAGTATTCTCAAAAAAGTTAAACAGTAAAATACCCAAAAATTCTGATTTTTGGAAATACTACTCTCAATATTATTCAACTTTTTTAAACCCTTTAAATTTGATAATTTAATTAAATACCCCTAAATATTTTTTTAAAAATTACAAAAACACCCTAGTAATCCACATTTACCAGATTCCGGCCATCACTGCCGAAAAATGGCCGAAATATGTTAGGATGGCGCAGTACTGGCTGAATCTGGCCAGTAGTGAGCCGATCTAGCCTTTTTCAGCCAGATTCATGGTGGATCTGGCCCGAAAAGGCCAGATCTAAGGCCAAAGATCTGGCCGTAACAGTCGATAACGACGGCCAACAAACGGTCGTCATTGACCATCAACGACGACCGTTTGTTGGCCGTCGTTGACCAGCAAATACGGTCAAATCTGGTCGTTGACGGCCAGATCTGGTCATAGATCTGGCCTTTGTCGACCAGATCCACCATGGATCTGGTCGGAAAAGCCCATATCAACGCACTATAGACAAGATCTAGTCGGTCATGCGTCGATACGGTCACTCCGGCCACCCTCTGGCGGTGGTGGCCGGCTGTCTGTATTTGAGGGTGAGTTGGGGGTGTTTTTGTTAACATTTAATATTTTATTTTAGGGGTGTTTTTGTAAAGAAATAAACATAGGGAGTATTTTATTAATTTATAAATCTTACATTGTAATACCCACCAAATTCAATATTTTTTTACCTTTTTTCAAAAATCTTTTCTCAAAAACCTACAATTTTGAACCAAACGGAGCCATTCTTAATTTGGATGGGCTACTGGGGGTTTCAATTCATGACCCAAAACGTATACACGTAGATAGAGCCAGCACACGGCCCAGCACAAAAAAAATATAACACAAAAAAAAAGCACGGCACAAAAAAAAACACGACATAACATGAAAATATGTGAGCTGTGTCATGGGTCGACATAGCACGACACGATACGAAAAAAATAAAATTATAAAATTAACAACTATTTTTTAAAATAGCTGTTACCCCCCTGCACAAGGGTAATGACTATTTTAAACTTAAAATTGTGTTGCTGAAGTCATTATGTGTATGAAAGATTGGGTGGCAATAGATTTCAAACTTCAAAATCATGTTGCAGAAGATATATTTGAAGATTTGAAGAATTTAGAAATTAATGAAAATAAAGATATATACTAATTCTTAATCCTAATTTCTAAGTTTGTATTTGTAATTTATAATTATAATTTATAAGTAATAAAAAGTGTTGAAATTCAATTAATATTTTAATGTCTTATTATTTTATTATATTTCATAGTGATTATATATTTTTAATTAATATAAATACAAAATGTCACTAAATATAACATATAAAATATTTTTATAATAATTATTAATAATAAATTAAAATTACCCTAATTTATAAATATTAAAATAAAATATTTTTACTTGCTTACATCATACATATGTCATGATGACATGATATGACATATCATGTCATGGACCAGGCCTCGCAAGTCACAAATACATGTTGGTTCTGTTTAGTTTGGGCCTGGGCCTTAAAACATAAAGGCCCAATTTTACATCAATTTCTAGAAGAAGACCACCTATTTTAATACTTTAATTTACTTTTAAGTAATCCATCCTCACGCAATAATAGATCATATTATGGTATTAAACTATTAATAATATGACTAAACGACCTTTTCCCGCCCAAGGTTTGCCTTAATAACACTTTCCCTTTCAAAAAGTTTCAAAATACAAATTTCTCACCCAAAATTTATATTCTGTTAATATAAAAAATACGCTTCACTTTTTTAGCCAGCGTTCGTAGAGTTATTAGGAGCCAATATATGAGGGGTTTTGTAGAGTGGATGACAATAGATCGAATGGTGGTAACTAATTGAATATTGGCTGTCGGAATCAGTTGAAAATAAGCTAAGAACAGGAAACCTTAACTTTGCGGTGGTTGATAGTCGGTGAGAAATCAAGTGTCGGAGTGAGAAGGGTTTTGTATAGAATAGGCTAGAATCGGCTTTGGGTATTAACGAAATATAAACTTAGAGTGAAAAAATGGTATTTTAAAACTTTTTGGGTAGAAAAGAGTCATTAAGCCAAACTTTGGGTGGGAAAATGTTGGTTACTCTTATAATATAGTCAATAATTTAATTTTAAATAGAGAAATTTTGATTTATATATAATATTACGCCTGAAAAATAATAAGTAATATTGCATATTAGTTAAACAAATTTTTAAAGCATATAATTATATAATAATGTTACGACTAACTTACCACTATTATTCAAATGATTTTGATTCAAAACTTAGATATATAAATAATAATTAATTATAAATCAAAAAGAAAAAAATATGAGATTTGGGCACGCAAACTCTCCACTCGTCAGCGTCTTTACAGGAGATAATGCCCTGCAACAACAATTAAGAAAGCCACTGACACTGTCTCTCTTCTTTTTTCGGTCTCAATCTCAATCTCTGTGCTGTATTCGTTTTCTCGAGACCCAGTGATAGCCTTCGTGAAGTTGTGTATTGATGGAGAATCAACGAAATAAAGCTTGCCCTTATTGAGTTCAAAGAAGCAAAGGTAAAGAGAATCGAAAGCGAAGATGCGGAGAGAGATCTCGCTTTTGGTTCAGCCACGAAGTCTTCTCGTTTTGTTACTCATCTTTATTTTCCTCGTTTACGCTTTCACGATCCATAACAAACCGGTGCGTTTTATTTGTTTGTGTATTTTGTGTTGGATCTAATTGTTAATTTTATTGCGGAAAATGATGATCTGGGTTTTGAATAATGAAATATTACTCAAATGGGGTTAAAGGGTTTTTATTTTATTTTTGATTCTTTGTTAAGAGTGCCAATGTGGGTTTTCTTTTGAATTGGGTTTTAATTTTCTTTTTACTGTTGTTTGATTTTGAATTTCGATGTGAGATCACTGGTGAAGATAACGAAGTTTACTGTTATTTAGAGCTAATTTTTTTTTTTTTTTCCATTGTTAGGGTTCGTTGTTAGACTATTGCCTGATCTTTTTATAACTTTAAATTGTTTATAGTTTCATGGTGGTTGTCACTTGCTCTCTTATAATTCTGTGAAGAATGTGATCAGAGGTTTCTTCATGTTATTTGTGTTTTAATTTTAGCTCTGTAAGCACCGTTACTGGTTCTGTTCAGTGAATAGCTTGATAGAGGGTATGAGTAGAGGAGTAACGTTTATTTTGGTGATTTAGTAGTGGTAGGAAAAATTTGTCTTTGAATTTTGATGACTATTGCGGTATGCATTAGTGGCTGTTTTACTACATGTAAAGTGAATGTTTTGTCAATCAATAGTTTGACCTTCAATTTGGAGAGCAATGCACCCTCCATTAAAATATTGGATATGTTAGGGTTGTTTTTTGCATTGCTCTAAGCTATGGAGATATAGAATCCGAAGTGGGAAATGTTTTGTTCATCAAGTCATGAAAGTGCTTTTAAGTTGTGGTATACTTTTCAGTACTACAAAATCATTTCCCTAATCCTGTTTTAAATGTTAATTAATTGTCTTGTCTTGACTCAATTTTTGTTCTATTCCTTTTAAACTGATTCTTAGGAGGAGGAGAAGGTGGAAGAGGTGTATGAAATTACGCATAGAGTATACTTGGATGTTGATATTGATGAACAACGATTAGGTACTGCTTTCTCATCCACAGTGCTGTATGACAGTGATATGACTGCAAAAATTTTTATCTTTTAATTAAAGAGTAATAGCAATTACTGAAGTAATGCCATATTGATATTAATCCACACATTAAGCTTTTAGATAGATTCTATTATATGACAGCGTTGTAGTAATTAATTGCGTCTTTTTCTGCATTTCTCATCTTATTAACTTCCAGTTCTGTTCTGGATTTTGCAGGTAGAATTGTTATTGGATTGTATGGCCAGGTTGTTCCAAAAACTGTTGGTATGTATTCAGTCTGCTGTGTTAATACTTTCATATCACGGTTTTGGAAGCTTAATTTGTCTAAACCAGGAGAATGCTCAATTTGCCTAATTTGTGGTTCAGTAGCAGTCTACCATCCATTGAGAACTGAAAAGATTTTATCAGATCATTTTTTTTTTTTTTTTTTTTTTTTTTTTTTTTTGGGTATTGTAATTGGTGGCCACCCCTTGCCCTTGCTACAACTTGAACCCAAGACCCCTTGGTCTTTTAACTCCTCAATCCATTGGCACACTGAAAGTCAATTGTCTTACTTCTTTAGCTCATTTGTAGTTCAAGAAATTCAAGCTTTTGATTAATAAGTTAGTGAACTACAAGGGTGCACTTGCTCTTCGAAATCTTTGGCTTTAGCTTAATGTGTACCATAGAGGATGTATGGCATTTTTGTTGTGACAGTAAAGGTATTGAACTGAGAATTGCGGTTCATTTGGATCTTAAGAGTGGCCAGTTCTTTTGAAACTGCATAAGGATAGTACCTTACGCAATACACCTCTTCCAGGACCCTGCTTTCTCAGGATCCATTTTGTTTATCTGGCTTTCCTCTGATTTGTTTTCTCATGTAGATATGTATTGCAATTCTAAGTGACTACCTACTTTTCTGGAGGTGTTCTATAGGAACCCACTCTGTATGATTACAGTTTGGCATAGTGATGATATTGTAATGGGTGATGTGGAAATACAATGTTAGTCAACAAACAAGTGTTTGAAGATTTCTTTGGATAGCATTCCCCTTAATTTTCTAATTCTGGAGCTCTTTTGTTTGCAGAAAATTTCAGGGCATTATGCACAGGTACTTGAATTCTTATCTTTTAATTCCAAATAATACTGATAGAGACTACGTTCATAGTCAATGTGGTTATTATATATTATCTTCTGCAATGGCAGGGGAAAAAGGCAAGGGGGCGAGTGGGAAACTTCTCCACTACAAGGGAACACCATTTCATCGTATCATATCTGGGTTTGTGATTCAAGGTGGAGATATAGTTCATGGCGATGGAAAGAGAAGTGAGTCTATTTATGGTGGCACCTTTCCCGATGAGAATTTTAAGATTAAACATTCACATCCAGGTGATCTAATGTGTACTAATTTTAGTGATTGTTTTATTTATTTTATAGGTGAATTGTGGATAACTTTTGCTTCTCTGAAGAAGCTGTCTTAAGTTCTCTTTATTTTGGGGGCTATTTCTTTCTGGCTTCTGTCATTGCTTCCCTCAGATTGTCTAAATTCTCTTTGTAGGTGTTGTTTCTATGGTGAATTCAGGACCTGATTCCAACGGCTCACAGTTCTTCATCACCACTGTCAAGGCCAGTTGGTAAGATATTCTTTGGTGATATAATGGAAAATTAAGATGCAATGATTAAATAGTAGTACATACACATTGTAGGAAGGTTTTGGCCTGAATATCTGTCTCGAAAAGTTAACAAACTCAGATTGCACGCTTATTTTACCCTATATTATGTAATCATTATGGACTCCAGCTGCTCGGATGCTAATCTGGTTGTTTCTTCATCTGGTTTTATTTGTCCTTGAAAGATTTTTCATATATTTGGTTTAGTAGTAATGTATTATAGCCTCTCCCTCTATTTATGAATTCTGTGAGTTTACTTGATGGGATGTCAAACTTTAAACTTGTTACAAGCATCATGATTTTGCAGTGTGTTTAACAAGACGTACTTAAGGTTGGGTCTTGGCTTTTTTACCTACATGGTAAAGATATACAGATAACCTGTTCTGTTGATTCATTGTTGGAGCGTCACTGATCAGCATGTTGTTTTTGTTGTATATCTTTGCCATTTTTTGTTTTTGTTTTTCTGTTTTGTGGATCTGAAAATTGAGTTGTTAAATAAGACGATGTCATACTTTGTAAATATGTAGGGTCATTTGCTAGCATTGTCGATAATCTTAGTTGTAGTTCTGTTACTGAAATTGAACTGCACATTGAGTATAGGGTTTTATAAATGAAGTTTATGCTGAGGATGTGAGGTCTGGATGCAGGCTGGTTTCTGTGTGAGGCCCGTGAATTTCTTATTTAATTTACATATTTTCTGCAGGTTGGATGGGGAACATGTTGTATTTGGCAAGGTCATTCAAGGCATGGACACAGTGTATGCAATTGAAGGCGGAGCTGGAACCTACAGCGGAAAACCAAGAAAAAAGGTCACAATTGCTGACTCAGGAGAGATACCCAAGAGCAAGTGGGATGAGGAAAGGTGAGCCTTCTTCGTACAGTAACACCAAGTTCCTCAATTTTGAGTTTGCTAGTGTTTTTAGATAATTGATTCACTTTTGTTTCTCATTGTATTATGTCCATGAAATTTAATTAAATCTTGACTTAGATCCAACAGTCATAGGTGCGGTGCCTCTTGGAAATATTGTATTTGGCCTTTTGTATCCAGCAACTGTTATAAATACAAACATGTGACATGTCCATTATTACGCAATGAAAAGGAAATGATATTGTTCTTATTTGAAGCTCAGGCATGCCAGTTCTTTACTGTTTTTACTGTGCTAACCATAAATTTTGTTGGGATTCATCCTTTATCTATATGTTAAGAAGCTGCGCCGGGAGAAGAGAATATAGTGATACAAAAGTTTATTTTTTACACCTTGTTGACAAAAAGATAAAAAAAAGACTCTCAATGTACTGATATGATGAATATTTTGTCCACACACATCAAGACAACTCGTATTATTAAATCCATAGACGTTCATCAAGAGGAACATAACTGATCATTAAAAGGCATCAACCTAAAAATAATGTAATGTTTGCAAAAGTAACCTACATTCTTACGGGACACACGTTAAGACAACTTTTGTTATTAGATCCATAGATGTTGATTACAAGCAATACAAACGATCATCACAAGCCATAAATATGGAAGGAAATGATGTTTGCAAAAGCAACCCACATCCGATCTTATTGGACACACGTTAAGACAACTCTTATTATTAAATCCACAGAAGTACATAAAAATGCAACACAAACATCAATTACAGGCAATAACATGGAAGGAAATGATGTTTGCAGAATCAACCCACAATCTTATTATCTCAACTTTAACGAAGTTTTGAACTATTCAGCTGGTTTGTGTTGAGCAAGCCCATTGTCGACCCATGCAGAGTAGGCTCCTCCCATTTCAGTCACATGCTCATAGCCCTGTCTCCTCCACCAAATCTTTCCATTCATTTAAGAAAGAATAAATCATGTGAATTAAGCAAGAATTAGAGTAATCTTACAGCATTTAGAAGATCAACACAAGCTCGATGCGATCTGGCTCCACTTTGGCAACCCTTTACAATGTTTAAGACAAATTTATAAACATTTTGCTTCACAAATATTATATGCATATATTTGCCACATCCCACCAGCAAGTTATCAGCGGATTAAAAGGAAAATCATAAACATAAAGTTTACCACAACTAAGTGATCCTCCTTCTTGCAGAGTACAGTTACTTGGTTCAGAAATTCAGGGTTTTTAAATTTACCTGGATATTGCCGAAACCATAACTGATGGGTTTTATATGGGGAACAAATGAATTGTTTACATGATTAATTAAGATTTCTAACCAATCACCTTCTTGTGTGAAATACATGTATGGAACATTGAGGGCATTCTCAATATGGTCCTTATTGAACTCCTCAGTTTTCCTATATACAAACCCATCAGTTTATTAAAAATGATCGAAGATGTCATGTAACAGTAGAAATTTGACTAAAGTTTTATGAAAAGATCTTACCTCACATCTAAATAACAGTGGCCTGAGCTGAGGAGACCCTTTGCAGCATGCATATCAACACTAACAACATCTTGAAGCCTGAAAAGATCTCGAAAATCAATGACAAGTTCAGACCAAATAATTATATCTGCATTATTTCAGAGGGAAAACTAACTCACTTTTTTGTGGCATCCATGACAGATCGTATTGGAAACAGAATGTTCTTTTGCAGCTTTGGTAAAGCCAAAATGCTTCTAGGTGACAACTTTGTTAAGTGTCAGTTTCATTTATATAATACAATTTCGATACTACCTATCCATTGATGTGAAAAACACTTGGTCCTCTGTCAACAATGTAGATGCTGATGTCGGTAAATATATTTTGAGAGGCCTTGTAGAAGGAAAGCCTCAATTATTTTTACAGAGTTTTCTTTTGATGCATTATAGTTTGCAAGTAAGCATGGCCATAGGAATTGTTTAATGAAAACATAATGAACTGCAAGCAGCTAAGTCATACACTATTTGCATTCCTGCATAAAGTTGAAATATTATATGACTTATGTATGTCTATTGAAGGAGATCTACCTCTAAAGTTTTGGTAAATTTTGATAACAAGTACCAAAATAAAATTGTATCGTATGAGATTTTGTTTAAGAATAATGCTATATATCTTGAATAAGATGAAGTTTTTAGTGAGATAGATGTATGTACATCTGTTCAATACATGTAGATCACGTCAATACACGTGATTTATACATATTATGTGATTTATTATATCAATTGCGATAAAAATGATAAACCTTTATTGACATAACGATTTGCACATAAGTCGATAGAAGACTAATCCATCAAAACAACTGATACAACCATTATTTGTTACAAATAGGCATCAACATTAAAAACAATGTTTTACTATTCAAATACTCCTCATCTGAGTTCTCGAGTCTGAGTTAAGGACGAAATTTGCAAGTAGTTTTGAGCTCTTCGTGTGGTTGGTCTCCAGCAAGTCCCTTGTCAACCCATGCTGAGTAGCCCCCTCCCATGTCAGTCACATTCTCATAGCCCTGAATCCACGCAGTTAAACTTTTCATTTAACTAATCAAATAGATAACAACAATTAAACTCGGCACTAACAATACTTTGCATAATAATCTTACAGAATTCAGAAGATCAAGACAAGCTTTGAGTGATCTGCCTCCACTGTTGCAACCCTTTACCAGAAGCAAAACATTTAAAAGCAGTCAATTAAAAATCCAAGTTTTCTGAATCTTTCTTTCCTTTACATCTCCTCTTAAACTCTGTATGATACGTCCGTCTCATCTAAGTTCTTTCTTGAATAGTTATCCGTAAAGAAAGAGGAAAATAATAAACAAAAATTTTACCACAACTAAGGGATCATCCTTCTTGAATAGAGCAGAAACTTGTGTGACAAATTCAGGGTTTTTGGCTCTGCCTGGATATTGCCAGAAACCAAAGATTTAAGTGAGGAGATATGTTGCATATGGGGAAGTAATGAATTGTGTTCACATGATTAAGTGATCACCTTCTTGTGTTTTGAACATGTAAGGAATATTCTGGGCATTGTCAATATGGCCCTTTTGAAATTCCTCAGTTGTCCTGCAAAACAAATCCATCAGTTTATTCTCAGTGCTTCAATAATCCAAGATTGTAACAATTGAAAGCTAAACTAAATTAGATTCCATTAAACATCCCACCTCACATCCAAATATTTGTGACCTGAGATAAGGAGATCCTTTGCAGCATGAACATCAACAGTTACAACATCTTCAAGCCTGAAAAAAAATATGAAAATGGATTACAATTTCACAGCCAAATTACTGATAACAATTTTAAAGGGAGAAATAAAAAATGAACTCACTTTTTTGAGCTATCCATGATAAAATCTCTTGGGAAACAAAATTCCCCCCCGAGCTTTGTTAAAGCTAAAATGTTCCTTTTAGCCAACATTGTCAACTGCAGCTTTCGGTTTATATAAAACAATGCTGATGTAAAACCTTTGGTCAACTCTTCGGAAATGAATTTTATATTACCTCTTTCTTTGTTTTGTGCTGAAGTTTGGAATTAATTATCAGGTTACAGATTGACCTGAATAGGCTCTTCTGGGCAGCTTCTCTTCAGGTTAGACCTTTCTGAACCTAAACGCTTTTACAATTATATGCAAGCCTTGGTTTTTTCATACAGTTTGGATGATTTTCGATTCTGAAATCTGTTATTATCCATATATATAGCCAATATTTATCTCTTTGTTATATATATTAACCTCCCATTGTATTGTTAGCAAGATAGTTAGAGTGGAGTTAGTTCAAGAAATCCATATAAATAATTTCTACAATGTGACTTCCAATACTGTTATAATAAGTAGTTGATTATGAAATTACTGTTGACATGCGAATATGAGAAGGAAATCTACGACATTAATTCACATACCATTTGGATCTGAAATGAGAATCACATATTCTTATTCTTAATTAGTTTAAAAATATGATTTTTTTTTTTTTTTTTGCTTTATTATTAAATTGTACATTATTTGTAATATTCTATATTATCGCACTTTTGTTAAACTCTGACCATTTCTTGTCTCTCTTACCCTCTCTCAAATATCTCTCGGCGTGTCTGGTTCTCTTCAATTGTCTCTCTTCCCTCTAATTTTGACAATTACAGGGTGCGTTTGGTTTATTATTTTGGATAAGATTTTGGAATAGTATTGGATAGTGGATAGGGTGTTATTACGAGGGGAATTTAAAAATTTATAAAAAAACCCCATAAGTTTGCTAATTTAACTAAACACCCATATAAAAAAAATTGTAAATGACAAAAACACCCCACCACCCCAGTGCAAGATTCCGGCCACCACTACCGGAAACTGGTCGGATTCGGCGTTACAGCAACTGGTTGGATCTAGCCGGACCTGAGTTGATCTGATTTTCCCAGTCAGATGATTTGGCCATCAACGGCCGTAAATGGCCAGATCTACCGTCGTTGACGGTCTTTCTTTGCGAGGCCAGATCCGCGATGGATCTGGCCGGAAAAGGCCATATCGGATTATCGGCTAGTTCGGTGGTTTGTAGCCGTTGTGTGTGGTTGTCGATGTTCAGAATCTGGTAACTATGGGTGGTGGGAGTGTTTTTGTTAATTTTTAAACTTTTTTTTTCTGAGGGTATTTATGAAATTGATAAACTTAAGGGGACTAAAAGTAATTAAAAATATATAGTATTTTCTAAATAATTAAAAAAAAATATTTTGAGATATGTTGGGATAGGAATGAATAATAAACAACGCACCCAATTTATCTTGAATGAGTGTATGAACAGCCATATTAATTCTTTAATGAACACATCTTTACTACAAGCAATTGGCTATTGAATACTTCCTGCATATAAGCTATCAAATGACTTAAACTAATTTGACTTGTAATAATCAAACAATTTCTTTCCTTTAATCTTGAACAGGTAGCATATATTAATGTTATCATCTATTTGTGTGTTTTTTTTTTTTTTTTTTTTAATATATATATTATTGAGGTTAAATGGTCGGTTTGGCCTCATTTCATTCCATGACCACCTTATTGAACTATCCCATGCTCATATATGTCATATAGTGATTCTTTAGATATATTTAAGAAATTTCATATTAATCCCATTGAGCATAATTTTACATTTTGTACATGTAGTTGGATCAATGCAACATATTGTATTGAAGATGTGATTAGATAAATATGAGGGAGAAGACATTTTCCCATCCATGTTTGGCAAAACGATACTTTCCCACTGTCAAGTTTCAAAATGACACTTCCCCACCCTGTCAAGTTTTGTTGGTGCTTTCTATTAATATTTGATTGAAAAAATACCCTTAAACATTAGTTTCTTAATTAGTTATTATAAATTAAATTTAGTTAAGTTAAAGTTTTACTCAATATTATTAGTTTGTGTAAATATTTTTTTTCCTTTATTTATTTAATTAATTAGGAATTTGATTTTTTATGTTAATTATTAAAATAAACATTATATCATGACAAACATTAGATATTTAATAGATTATTGAATAATAGTGATGGGATATTATGACATTATAAATAATAAATAAATATGAAAGTATTTAACTTAAAAAATTCCATACACATTACCTTACTTTTTAGGTAAAGTTAACTATTTATCTTTTTTACTTTCATATTGACTTTTTGACTAATTAAAAATATAAAAAATTTATAAAGTCAAATATTTAGAGTGTTTTCGTCTTTTTCGTAAAATATTAACAACATAACAAACCTAAAGAAGAGTGGAAAAGTGTCATTTTGAAACTTAAAGGGTGGGAAAGGGTGTTTTGCCAAACCTTGGGTGGACAATGTCGTTCTCCCAAATATGATTGTAAAGTTATAAATTGGATTGGACCGTTTATGTTTAGGCATTGATCCAAATCCAACCAATTTGCAACACAAACAACACAAAATATGCCCTAAACTCAAGCTTAAATTCGGCCAACACAAATAGAGGCAATGTCACACTTACTTGCAATTTTAGGTTAAGCAAGAATACCTTCAACATAAAAATTCTCCACCAACTTGAATCGATTCACCACCAATCTCCTTGCCAAGACTTGGATAAAGAAATCTTATAAGAACACACAAGTTCTCTCAATGGTTAAACCAAGTTTTTGATATTTCATGAACTAACTTTTACAAGGAGAATAGTTGCCTTTAGTAGGCATTACAAGGTTAAAAGTGTAATCAACAATTACATTACATACAAGAAATGAAAATAAATAAATATTACACAAAAATTACAAGCCTTCCATTCAAAATTAAGGCCATACCCATTTAATGCAAAAAAGGGACATGATTCCCTAATCTAGGGTTCATGTCTTTAACCACTCCATTAGTTGAAAAAACTCAATTTATTAGCCCAAAACTTGATCAATGATCCTAATCAGTCTACAATAAGGGTGTAATAGATTGGACCTTGAAGATCTTGCATTGGATCCAATAAGGTTCAGTGGACTTTCCCCTTTGGAATGAGAATTGGGCCAATGGCTCACTTCAACACTTGGGCTTCTCTCTGGTGGACTTGAGCTTCCTTTGTTGGGCTTGGACTTGGGATGGTTTGGGCGAAGTGCTTGGGCTCTCTCTCCCCTTGGAACTTGCTTGGGTCGAATCTCCTCCAATGCTTTCCACACTCCACAATCCAAGTGTTTTAGGACTTGGAATGAAACTCTTGATTCAACAGAATTAGCAAGTGTTTTAGGACTTATAATTCCTTGTCCACTCCATGTTTATAAGTGTTTTAGGACTTGTAAACGTATCAGGCATGTTTATATGTAATGTTGATCCAACCATTTTACAATGACAATAGTATATATAATATAATGGGTATTAATTAAGTTAAATTGATCTCTTTAAATTACAAATTATAGACCTCTCTTAACTGCTTCTAAATTAGTCATAATAAGTGAGGAATGTCTTTAAGCTAATCAATTTGGGCTTGGAGTCTTGGACAACCACCAATAGGTACTTCGAGTCCTTTGATGGTAAAACAGTTTGAGTTTTCACAGCTTTATAAGGGTTATTATTAAAACTTTTATTCGATTGATAGTTCTAGAGTCTTAAAAACGCCCAATCATTAAAAAAAAAAAAAAAAAAAAAAAATTCTAGGCTTGGACTGTTGGTTGGAGAATATTATTTTGATGCTTCAATAATTAACAACATTAAACTAATGGTCTCAAAACATTATTGATTTACAACTGAATGGCTTTTAATTGCAAAAATATCTTTATTTAAAGATTGTATTATGATTATAATTACTTATTTATAACATTAAGAATGCAATATGTTTAAGTTTTTTTTTTTTTTTTTTTTAATGGTTTTAGAAAATTCCAAATCACAAATACTCTTAACTTAGAAGAAGGAAAAACCAATAAAAATTTTAAAAATTTCTTAGAAAGTTCTTTACGAAATTAAATATTTTTATAATTATACCAAGTAAGACTAATAATAAAATTTCCCTATGTAGAAATTTCTCCAAGGTTCGAAACCAGGAACATGTTTTTGGTGACGAATAGGGTTTAATTAAGGGAGAACGACATTTCCCACCCAAGGTTTGGCGAAACGGACACTTTCCTACCTGTTAAGTTTCAAAATGACACTTTCCCACCTTTTATCAGGTTCTGTTAGTGTTTTTTGTTAATATTTCATTGAAAAGTCGAGAATACCCTTAAACAGTTTATTTCTTAATTAGTTTATTATAAATTAAAATTTAGTTAAGTTAAAATATTTACTCGATTATTTATTAGTTCAAGTATAAAGATATATTTTTTCTTTTGTTTATTAAATTAATTAGGAATATCGATTTTCTATATTAATTAGTAAAAATGAAAATTATTATATTATGAGAAATATTATAAATTTAGTAGATTATTAAATAACAGTGATGGGATATTGATGACATTATAAATAAATAAATAAATATTAAAGTTATTTAATTTTAAACAATTTTATAGTATTATTTCTAACTTTTTAAGTAGGGTTAATTTTTTTTTAACTTTTTAATAGTTAACTTTTTGGTTAATTAAAAATAATAAAAAATTTATAAAGTTAAATATTTAAGGATATTTTCATCTTTTTAGTAAAATATTAATAGAAAATATAACATAATCTAACGAAGGGTGGAAAAGTGTCATTTTGAAACTTAAAGGGTAGAAAAGTGTCGTTTCACCGAACCTTGGTTGGAAAATGGTGTTCTCCCTTTAATTAATTAATAAATTAAGAATTATTAATGAAGATCCAAATAATATTGCTTTCAAATCTCCAGTAAACAACCAAAACACTAATCAATAATGGATGAAAAAACTCTTCTGTCCCTCACAATTTCCAATTCAACTCAGAACAAATCATAATCAAATCAAAACCCACACCCAAAACAATTAATTAATTATTGTAATCCACTAACTTCAACTATTCAACAACTTCGTCATCTTCATCTTCTTCCTTTCATCTCGATTTCAGTCTCAATCTCAGCCCACCTATTCAATCAAATTACAGACAAAACTCACGAATCACTTCAATGGGCAGCACTGAAGAAGACCCAAACAAGCCCTTATCTCTTTACGAACCTTCTTCTCCATCTCAGCCTCTTCTTTCCAAACCCCCAATTGAAGAACACACTTCAGTCCCATCTCAACCCGACCCGCAAGAACCCGACCCGGTCCAATTCATACAGATCAATTACAATTATGGTCCCAGACCTTTCAAGGACCTACCTTTTCTCATCCTTTTCGTTGTCTTTGTTATCGCAACTTTTGCCTGGGGTATATTCTCAGTTTGTAATAAAAATTCTAGCTTTACTAGTGTGTCATCTTATGCTTATAATTCTACTTCAGGATCTTGTGTTGAAGAGTCAGCTTCAGTTTCTAGCAACTGGGGTTCTGTCAATTTTACCTTTTTATCATTAAGTTCTAGTTTTTCTAAAGATTTGACATGGACCCTTGTTTTGACTTTGATTTTAAGCGTGCCCATTTCTTTTTTACTCCTTTTGCTTCTCAAACGTTACACCAAACAGATTGTGTACATTTCGCTTCCGTTCTTCGTTATTGTGCCCATTTTTTTAAATGTTTATTGGTTTGTTGCGTGTACTGTTAGTTCTTCTTGTAGTGATGTATTCCCTTTGGCGTATAGAATTTTAGTGCTTGTGTTTGTGTTCTTGATAATTGGAGTTATTGTTTGGATATTTGTTGCCAATTGGCATAGAATTGAGTTGACTATTCAGATCATTGGTGTTGCTTCTGATGCTTTGTCTCAGAATTTGGGCTTGTTTGTGGCGTTACCGTTGTTGACTCTAGGATTGATTATTTATTATGCGCCCATTATTGTATTCTTGGTGTTTGCAAGATTTAATGGGAAAATTGTGGCGAAAGAATCAAGTGGAGAGTATGAATGTGTGTGGAAACAAGATAGTTGGGTGCCTGCCTACTTTGCGGTTGCGATTCTTACCATGTTGTGGTCGTTGAGTGCAATGGTTGAAGCACAGGCTTATGTGATAAGTGGGACTATTGCACAGTGGTATTTTTCAAAGGAGGATTCAAAACCTAGGCGAAGTATAAGAAGTTCTTTGAGGTGCATTCTTGATCCCTTTATCACTTTTCAGCTAAATTATTAGTTGTTTTCTTTTTAAGCTTGTTAGAATTGCTCTTGCAGATGGTTTTGCTTATTTTGATGTGTTTGAACTTTTGGGGAGTATGCTTAGAGTTAATAGTCAGATATTGAAATTATTTGCTGGGCCCTTTATTATAGGTATGACATTAAAAAAATGGTTAATATGTGAAGCATGCATCATAGTGATATATTTTTTAGATGGATGTGCCATGTAGATGATTTCCTGGATCATTAGGTAGGTTTATGTTCATGAAGGAATCAAATGCATTTGGAAAGTAAGGAAGATTTCTGTGTTTAATATAAAAAAAAAAAGGAAAGAAATTAGGATTAACTACTCGCAGAGGCGATAATAACATTGGTCTACACTAAGATAAACCACTGTTAGAGAAATAAGGTTGGAGAGAGAAATTAACTTACATCAATATATTGAGCTGTTTGATGTGCAATGGTCTCGGTAGTTGGAGTTTGATTCTGTTAGTACCACGCATTTGAATATATTTGCTTAGGGCTGGCTTTGTGCTTAATAGTAGAATTTGTTCACTTGTGAGTATCCTTGGCAGTTATTGCTCTGTTTAATTTAATCATCCTCTTTCTAAAGTAATAGCAGTGGAAGACCTACTGTGTCTTACTCATTTTGTCATCCCCATCATGTGTGCCTGTCAATATATTTAGGAGGAAAATCAGTGGTGTTATTATCTTCCTCATGTTATTGTTGTGAATACTTGCAGGAATGCATTTGGTCCCTCCTCTGGCACTGTTTGTCTATCTGGACTACTTATATGTGCAGTACGTATAGTCCGTGCTGCTGTTGATAGTGCAAGACAAGAAGATGTTCCTGGATTTGTGATCCTTATTCTGCGTTGCTGTGTAAATGCCTTATTGTCAGCTGTAGATTTTCTTAACAAGTTCACCATCAACTTTGCAGCAATAACGGGTGAAGCTTACTGCACATCCGCAAGAATGACTTATGAACTTCTAAAGCGTAACCTTCTCTCTGCTGTTTTTGTGGAGACTGTCTCAACTCGTTTGTTAGCTGGGATTATTTTTGTCGTTTCGGCAATATATACAATTGCGGTGAGCAGATTATTCAAAATCTAAATTTTCATGAATGATTAGTGCTAGGGGGCCATTTTATTGTTTACCATGTGGCATCCTTGCAGCATAGCTGACCTAGATAGATCTTCTATTCTCATTGGAGAATAGTAACCATTTCAATTATGAAATTCAGGACAGTGAAGAGTCTAGTCAGGCAATTCTTTCGATGGTTTACAAGCCTTCATCATGGTGGTGGTTTAACTATACTTTCCTTGGATAGGCTCCATATGAATTCCTGTTGTTTTAGGCATAGATTGGACAAAACTAGCCAAGCTGGCTGCTTGTATTCAAGCATTTAAATGTTGAATTCTGTATGCTTCCATATTAGCTTTTAGATTTGTGGATTAGAGAATAGATTGACTGCTGTATCCATTAGTAGACTACTAAGTTTAGTTAATATATGCATTTTTAATTAGTTAAACTACTATCATGATGAACATCATGCTATTATCCACCTTGTCATAAGATGGGGTTGCTTGAACTTTTGACCTGAGATCACTTGACCATTATGCTACAATTAGACCAAGGGTTCACGGATGACCGATTATTGTATATATTTCTATATGCCTTTTTCCTTTTTGACTATTTTGTTTACTATCAATGTTCCCTAATTTTGGATGTGCATAAACAGGTCTGTGCTATCTTAAAGGGAGCGACCAAACTTGGTGCCGAAGCATACTTTGTGGGGTTTCTTGCATGGGTGCTTCTAATCATGGTGCTGGGTTTCTTTGTCCATGTCTTGGACAATGTTATTGAGACAGTTTACGTCTGCTATGCCATAGATAGAGACAAAGGGGAGGTCTACAAACCGGAGGTGCACGCGGTTTACGTTCATGTACCTCTCAGTAGGAACCATAGAACGACTTTCGTACCCACTACTCTTGGTGTATAAACTTCCTTTAGTTCCAGTTGTGTACTTGAACACCATTCATGTGTTGTTATTAATCATTTGTTCTGTGTGTAAGGTAGAATTGCCCCTGGGCAAACTGTGCATACTTTCAGTTGCCACATTGTACAACTTAAAAGAAGCAAAATTATAATAAACTTGGAGCCTTTCAGTCCCTCTCTCATTTCTCTCTTTAATGTAATGAGACCACTCTGCCATTTGTTTATGTTATTTGCTCATGTCACAATCGATGGCTTGATCAGATTGTTTTAAGTAAAATCAGTGGCTCCGGTGGTGGGTAAAATATTTGTGCTCTAGGTTCATTTAGGGTTAGTTTTAAACTTTAAGGGATTTATTGATTTTTGGATAACTGTAGAGTGTTTATGTATTTACCGATCCATAAGATCATATGATTGTGATATAACTAGTTTGCTTCTTTCTACAGTATAAACCCACTTATGTATTTTGAGATAAGTGTGAGAGTTTTTTAGTTATCCATGGATAGTTATTTGTGGAGACTTATGGATTTGATGGTTAAAGTAAACCCCATCAGATTCANAATCATCAATTCCATCATCCCATTAGCTTCCTCCATCTCCCCTTCCTTGCAAAACCCATTTATCATTGAATTAAAAGTCAACACATTAGGCTGCAATCCTTTTTGAATCATCAATTCCATCATCCTATTAGCTTCCTCCATCTTCCCCTCCTTGCAAAGCCCATTTATCATTGTATTAAAAGTCACCACATTAGGCTACAAACCTCTTCGACTCATCAATTCCAACAAACTATTAGCTTCCTCCGTCTTCCCTTCCTTGCAAAGCCCTTCTACCATTGAATTAAAAGTCATTACATTAGGCTGCAAACCTCTTTGAATCATCAATTCCATCAACCCATTAGCTTCCTCAAATTTCCCCTCTTTGTAAAGCCCACTAATCATTGGATTAAACGTCACTAGATTAGGCTGCAAACCTCTTTGACTCATCAATTCCAACAACCCGTTAGCTTCCTCCACCTTCCCTTCCTTACAAAGCCCATTTATCATTGAATTAAATGTCACCACATTAGACTGCAAACCTCTTTTGAATCATCAATTCCATCAACCCATTAGCTTCCACCATTTTCCCCTCCTTGCAAAGCCCACTTATCATAGTATTAAAAGTCACCACATTAGGCTGCAAACCTCGTTGACTCATCAATTCCAACAACCCATTAGCTTCCTCCATCCTCTTCCTTGTAAAGCCAATTTATCATTGTAGTAAATGTCATCACATTAGGCTCCAAACCTCTTTGACTCCTCAATTCCAACAACTCATTAGCTTCCTCCGTCTCCCCCTCCTTGCAAAACCCATTTATCATTGTATTAAAAGTCACCACATTAGGTTGCAAGCCTCTCTGACTCATTAATTCCAACAACTCATTAGCTTCCTCCGTCTTCCCCTTCTTGCAAAGCCCATTTATCATTGTTGTAAACGTAACAACATTAGGCTGCAAACCTCTTTGAATCATCAATTCCAAAAACCCATTAGCTTCCCCCGTCTTCCCGTCCTTGCAAAGCACACTTTTCATTGTAGTAAACGTAACCACATTAGGCTCAAAACCTCTTACAATCATCAATTCCAACAACCCATTAGCTTCCTCCATCTTCCTCTCCTTGTAAAGCCCATCATTGTATTATACGTCAGTAAATTAGGATGCAAACCTTGATCCAGCATCTCAAAAAATAAGCCTTTAGTCCCCTCCAAATTTCTCACAAAACAACAACCGTAAATTAGAGTGGTAAAAACAACCATATTTGGCTTAATTCCTCCACTCTTCATTTCCAAAAACAATTCTTTCGTCTTATCTACCAACCCATCTTTGCAAAGACCATTGACAATACTACCATAAGAAACAATATCAGGCTTGACCCCAATCACAGCCATTTTCTTGAACAACTCCATAACACAAACCTTTAATCAAAGAATTAAACGTCGCAATGTCTAGGTTAAAACCCCACCTCAAAATCCTCCAAAAAACAGCAAAACCATCAAAAACTTGACCCACATTACAAAAACAATTAATCAAAATATTCAAAGTAATTAAATTAGGTAACAACCCCATCGAACCCAGTTGTTTGTATAGCAAAATAACGTCTTTATAAAACTTCTTCTTAGCAAGAGCTCCAAACAACCGGTTGAATGATGAAATCGGTGGTTTGGGTTGCATATGAATCATTAAACAAAAGAAATAGTGTGCTTCACCAAGAGTGATGTTACCTTCTTTACAATCTTTTTGAAGGAATTTCTGAAGCTGGGTTACTTTGAGTACTAAATCTTGTGGTATAGTTGTAGTCACTTTACCTGCTTTTACGAATGAAGAATGAGAAGAAGAAAAACGATGAATCAAGCTTTTGAGCATCATTTCAGTAACGCCGTTTGTGGATTATCTATCAAGGGTTCAAATTGGCTTAAACTTTTGGGTGTTGAGGGTTAAATAATACATCTCACTGGAAATGAGAGTGGGATAAAACGTATTTATCTGAAACCTATAGGGTTCAGATGTAATTATATTTTTGCTGAAATTATTTAAAGGGTGTATTGTTTTTAACATGGAGGATAGCTATTTTCTGCAGAATAGTGGATAGATCATATGATTATGATATGTTGCAGACCTGGCTTCAAAGTTTGTTCATGTAGCTACTTGAATTGACATATCTCGGATTACTGGCAGAGAGTGTTCAAACTACTCACGAACGGCTGGCCTCGCCTCGCCTAACAGCTTCAAATAGATAAATTGTATTAAATACAATCCAACCTAATTATGGATTAGGTCAAATTCAATATTGAACTCAAATCTGCCTTTACTCAAAAGGCAAAAACATTCATGATTTCAAATGATATAGTATTTTTTATATATCTATATATGAATTCATAATCCATATCCAAATTATGTAAGGACTTTTGTTCAAATGCTTTTAACGAGATTTTTCATTCTTTTTTGAAGAAATTTTGAAATTAAAAAAGAATATACATGATACAATTAATCAGACAATACTACACTCACAACCCAATCTCATAGACTTTCTATCACAATCCTGACGTGATAGCTCATAATTTGTCTGCTCGAAAATGGGTCCCGCCTGCTTGCAGTGGATCTCGCCTAACCAATTATGAGTTGATCAATTACGAACTACTACATCGAGGTTGTGAGAGAAAGTTTGTAAGTATGAGTTGTGAGCCGGTCTTTACTAAATTAATCAACTTTACTTCTAAAAGAATATCTAGAGTGTGTTTGTTTTATTATTTTGAGTAGTATTTTTGAAAAATTTAAGTTGAGTTATTATTACGAGGATAAGATTTGAATTTGAAAACGTGTTTGGTAAGATTATTTTTGAATCCCTTATATTTCTTAATTTAGTTAAACATCCCATAAAATAAAAGTTTAAAAATTAAGAAAAACACCCCCACCCACCCATTAAATGCTAGTGGTGGTGGCCGACTCTGTCAGGAATATGTGGGTGAGTGGAGATGTTTTTGTCAATTTATAATTTTTTATTGTTGGGGGTATCTAGTTAAATTAACAAACCTAAGAGGTTAAAAAATTTAAATATTTTGGATTGAATAGAATAGGATTGAATTTTGGGAACAGTGAAACAAACAGGCCCGTGGAGACTGCTTTAGGCAATATAATGATTTCTTAAATTTGCACACTTTTCCGTCCTTTCCACTTCCTTCAAACCCTGGTGGCATTTCCATGTATACCTTTTTTGTAAGTTCACCATTCAAAAACGCCTTTTTTTCACATCTAGTTGTTGTAGAGGCCAGTCTAGATTTGTTGCAAGAGACGAGTATCCTGATAGTATTCAACTCAGCCACCGGAGCAAAGGTCACCTCATAGTCTACTCCATAGGTTTGCGTAAATCCTCTTGCAAAAAGCCTTGCCTATACCCTTCAACTGTTCCATCTGCCTTATACTTAATAGTAAACACCCACTTGCAGCTCACAGTTGTTTTCCCTCCAGGTAAACTCACCAGCTCCCAAGTCTAAGAGCCTCCATCTCCTAAGTCTAAGAGCCTCCATCTCCTCTATCACAGTCTTCCTCCAATTTTCATCCCCTAATGCCTCATGTATCGGTGCTGGAACCTTCACAGCTGAGAGATTAGTGGTGAATGCTAAAAAATCATTTGACAATTTATTACATGCCACATACTTAGCAATAGGATGCAACATATAGGATCTAACACCCTTTCTTAGTGCAATAGGTAAATGTAAATCATCATGCCCTGATTTAGACTCATCAGAAGATAGTTCTTCCTTACCTTGTGACTGTGAATCACTGGTTTCTTCTAGTTAGGATGATTGCTTATGCAGATCATTAGGTTTCCTTCCACTTTGATAGTTAGTTCTTCGAGAATAACATTGGAGACCCGACTAATTTAATCTCTCTAGACTCTCCCTAGTTTCAATCTTTCCTGAGAGTTTGGTTTACCAAGAGTGGGCTATATAGTTAGAGTAAGACCTAAATTGGTAGGCTAACTACGAGACTGACTCATCCTTATGGGACTAGGCTGACCTATAAGAACCTAACCTGAATTAGGCTGACTAAGAAACTAACTCATTCTTATAGGACAAGGCTGACCTATAGGAAACTAGGTGACTTTGAACTTTGACCTGGACTGGGAGACTACTGAGACTGACTCAAGTGTGGTTGTAAGGGTAACACTACTTCCCACGAATGACCTTCACAATCTCTCAAATTCTCCCCTGAAGGGAAGTGGAAAAGAATGGATGTGACTCAAAAAATGTAATATCACTAGAGACATATAATTTTCTCTTTACAGGACAATAACACTATTAGTCTTTCTGTGTGGGAGAATATCCAAACAAGATACATTTAATGGCCCTAGAGTCTAGCTTTCCTCTATTAGGAGACATAACATGTACAAAAGCAATACATCCAAACACCTTTAAGGGTAAAGTATTTAGGATCCTACAACCAGGAAAGATCTTTAGCAATGTCTCAAGAGGCGTATGAAAATCAAGAATTCTAGTAGGTAATCTATTTATCAAATATACATCTGTTAAAATCAAATGACTCCAAAAATATTGAGGTACATTCATGGTAAACATTAAGACTCTAGCTACCTCTAATAGGTGCTTATTCTTTCTTTCAACTATCCCATTTTGTTGAGGGGTATTAACACAACAGCTTTGATGTACAATCTCGTGATGTAATAGGTAGTTTCCTAGGATAAAGTGAAAATATTCCTTACCATTATCAGTTTGCAAAACTTAGATTTTTTCTTGAAACTGATTTCAACAATTGAATGAAAGTTTTTGAACAATTGACCTGCTTCAAACTTGTTTTTCATCAAGTATACCCAACATGCTCCAGTGTGATCATCAATAAACGTAATGAACCACTTAGACCCTATAATATTTGTAACTCTAGATGGCCCCCAAATATCACTATGAATTATTAAAAAAGCCTAGAACTCTTATATTTATGAGCTAGATAGATAGACTTGGTGTATTTTGCAAGTTGACAAGTTTCACACTTAAAAGAAAATAAACTTTTATTTCTAAATAACAATGGGTACAATTTTAGTAAATAAGGAAAGCTAAGCTGTCTTAGTCTACTCTTATATCAGCCTATTGTGTTTCAAAAACTACTCCACTACCTATGGTTTAAATGTGACTGCTTCATTTATGTCATAACTTCATCAGAGTATCAGTAACTCCAAAGTTTGAAGTTAAAAAAATAAACATCATGGATTTTCAACTAGCATGACCCCTAAAGATACTGTCATATATCATTTATGTATGATTTGGAAAAATTATTCAAAATGACATATTAAACCATTATGATTCTGGTGCCCAAGTAACAGGTTGACCTATTGTAAGGCTACTCTCCAAATATATTCTCAACTGAAGAGCATGATTCTATATTAAGCATTCAAAAGATCTCCATAAATTGCCCTACTTGATAAACAACATTTTAACAACCTTGACTTAAGCCATTTGTCTAGTTTCAACTTCCATCAGCTGCAAAAAGAGAATAAAGAAAGAAATGTTTGCATTGTAGATGACAAATATCAATTGATTAAATAAAGCTGCATCGTATACTACTAAAAGCAACAATTTAAAAAAAAAAAAAAATTAGGAAAAAAGCAGTTTAGAAAAATTCAAATTCAAATTCTATCCATAAATCAATCTAGTATAATTGAAAGCAAGTAATGTAAAAGAATTATACCTCTGAAGCTGTCCCACTAAATCTTTTACTGTAGCATCTCTTGGAGATGGACCTAGCTTCGTTTAACTATCCCAAATCAGTTCCCATAGCTATATAACCTTGCTAGGCTTCCAACATTGACTCGCTGCACAGACAAAAAGCAAGTTATATGGAAAAAGCACAAAGATGAATCATAAATCAATCATATTGAACTATACATGATAAGAAAGAGAAAAAGGATGAATAGGCCAAACTAGATCTTAACAAGGCTCTCCCAAACACCTAGAGCTGCAACCAAATTTAGCTCTAAACGAGCCCAATAAGCATACAAATGCAGCAAACCATCTGTATTCTTTATCTGCTGAGATAAGTAATCTGATGCGTGCTAAAAGGAAGAAACTGCACAGTTAAGTATTCAAGTACATATAATACATCCAATCATACAGAGCCTGCAATTTCGATGTTACACTAAAGAGACATCAGGCTAATTGTTTATAAACACAAATATTAAAGACAACAATTATAGAACAACGATGTACCAGTTGAATATGACATGCAAATTTTATGAATTCGCAGATCCATAAAGATATCTTCCGTGCATGCAACTCCCATGCTGAATGAGAAATTTTTTAGCAAAGGACGCTATTCCACGACAAAACAATTAACAAAGGTAACAATCTAGCAATTAACAAAAGTCATCTTGGAGTACCAAGACTTATGCACTGTAATTTCTACATAAAGTGGTCATAATGGTACTATAACAACACACTAAATGAAGTAAATTAATAGACTTTTCTTCGGAGTCTAAGGGTAGAAGCACTTGATACACATTCGTAAGAGATCTATGCCTGGACCATGAAAGAGTAGACTAGCTACAAGGTCCACATTTTCTTCATCCAAAATTCATCATGAATAGAGCATCTACAAATGTCTTGAGAAGCTTAAAGTTCTTGACATCGAGTAAAAACAATTTTAACAAGGAAAAATGAACAGTATACATATGTGAACCTAAAAGGTTTCCCTTATCAATGGAAAATTTAGTTCATCCTCTTCTACTTCAGGCAAAAGGATTCTTCGTCTCAAGCCATCCACTCGAGTGAGGAATAAGTTTAGGTACTGAAACAAAGAGGGCCCAATTAACAAAGATCTTTGATGCATAAAATGTAGATGAAACAATAAAAAGTTACAAAGAGCAGTAAGTCAAGCCTGCAAATTAGAGAAAAGAATATCTTTACCTCTTCAATGGTCGAAAAAGTCCATAGAAGGGACTTCTCAAAGACCTGAATATGATATGAAATTTTTTTTAAACAACAAGAGTAAACCTCTATATTTGTAAAAGGAGCAGAATGAAATTCCAACACTAAAGTTTGTGAAACTTCATTGCTCTTAAGCTACTTATAACAATCTCTCATAATTCGCAACAGATGAAAGGTAACAACTGAAACTTACAGTAGATATCTCTTTCTCAGGCACACAGCAACGTTCCAAAGCCAGCAAAGATCAAACCCAAAGATCACCAACCCAAGGACAATTTTTCTTAGCCCTGGAATGAACATCCCGTACAATATTTCATGCTTGAAAGGAAAAAGAGATGATTAATTGCTAAAATTATAAATACTTGAAACATAAAGAATTGAAAAGAGAAAATATGAGTGAAACCTTCAAGGTTTTATCCAAATAGTGAATATAATCAAGCCACAGATCACTTGATACAGGAAACTCGGTATAGAAAGTTCAGAGAGAAGTTCAACACGGGCTAGATCTCCAGAAGACTAATCAAACTTCAAGTAGATCTGCAAAAATTTCAAATTAAAATAATAGTATTAACACTTTAAAGAAGGAAAAAAAAAAAAAAAAAGGTAACCTATTGCCACATTGCAAGTTCTTATGCAACCCCCCACCTCTAGGAAAAGAAGAAGAAGAAGAAGAAGAAGAAGAAGAGAAGATCTAAAGTTTACATAAACTAATTACTTATTGTTAAAATATATTAGGAAAACAGAGATATTATTTCCTAGATTGACTGTTTAGATATATTTGGAAAATAGAGATAGTATATTGATTTGTGTAAATATGGTAGACTAATATTGTGTGTATATCCTTGATTATTTAGGATCAATTCTTTACTAATTCATGTAACTAGTACATTGCCAATTCCCATCTTGCTTGGGGAAATAATCAAGCAACATATTTCACAAACACTGTTGTTTCATGGTATCAGAGCCAGGTTGGTTCTTGGCCTTCTTCTTATTCTTCTAAATCCATCTATTTCAGAAACCCTAAAACATATCTTTAAAGGAGGCGCTCCTCTTTGCTTTTGGGGAGTTTATTTCTCGATTCTCCTGGTTCGTCGGCATCTTCTAGTTCTTCCTTCTTGTTGGTGGTTCAACTCTGACAGAGGGTGTTTCTATTGTTTTGGATTTATGTCTCACTTCTCTTGATTACAATGGTAAAAGCATCAAAATAAGGTGATATCAAACTATTCTTCTCTTCTATTTCTAGTTCTCCAACAAGTACTACAGTCAAGCTTTAGGGTAGTAGTAAATATGCATCATGGGCTGCTTCAGTAGAGTTATGGTTTATGGGGCAGGGTTATGATGATCACTTAAGTAAAACATCCACTAATATTTCTACTACTGAGAGGGCTAGTTGGGTTAAACTTGATGCTCAATTATGTAGTCTCCTTTGGCACTCTTTAGACCTTAAACTGCTTAATTTGTTTCAATCTTGTAAAACTTGCTGTAAGGTCTGGACCAAAGCCAAAACTTTGTATACGAATGATGTGCAAAGAATATATAGAGTTGTTTCTGATATTGTCCACCTTCAACAAAATAATCAAGATATGGAGAGCTATTTAGGGTAGATAGAGACTTTAAAAGATCAATTTGATTCCCTTATGCCAGTATCTGATAGTACCACTGAACAAGAAAGACAACGTGACAAATTCTTTACGGTCCTAGCCGTAATTGGACTACGATCTGACCTTGGTTCTGTTCGAGAT